ATTCGTTAGATCTAGAGAACCTGCCAGAAAAAAAATTACAAGCTTAGTAATTACATTACTATAACACAATGCCAGACTACACTTAACAAAGCAACTCTGTTTCGGCATAAGTTCCAAATACTGAATGTATTTAGTCACTTTTCTGGTATAATGAAACCCTATTAGATTTGATGATCTATTCTGCAATATAAAAAAAAGTTAACGATCTCAATGATCTGAGAAATTTCAAGTCCCTGTAACATGTGAATTTTGGTAACACTACTGATTAAGAATATTATATGTATTATTCTTATAGCCTTTTTAAGTCCTATTCTTATTGTAAGATCATATATAATAAGTAAAAGGTTCTAAACACTACGTATTTATAAGTATTGGTTAATAAAGAAATCAATCGTAAGAAATAATTTGCAGAAAGTTTCACAAATCACATATCCAATTGTATAATGTTTAATTATTAACTATTAGTAAATTTCGGATAAGCCACTATTAAAGTACTGTTGGTTTTTTCTTAGTAAATATAAATAAAATTGCTAAGCCACTGTTGAAGTACTGTTGGCTTTTTTTTAGTAAATATATATAAAATTGCTAAGCCACTGTTGAAGTACTGTTGGCTTTTTCTTGGTAAATATATATAAAATCGCTAAGCCACTGTTGAAGTACTGTTGAATTTTTCTATATAAAATCGCTAAGCCACTGTTGAAGAACTGTTCTCCAGTCATATGATTAGGGTTGTGATTAGTGATAGAACTTAAAAATTAAAAATTCAAATTTTCACACATCATGTTCTATTGAAAAAAATTAATTATTTATAAATTATTAAATGCGACAATTAAGTATCACCTATTTTTAACAATTGTGTCCCATCACTAGTTGTAATACAGTATAATTAGTGATGGGACTAACCAGGGTTAAAAAAGGAGGCAGTTTAATTGTCATGTACCATAGCTTATAAAAAACTTATATAAAATTAATTTTTTAAATGATCATAGTGTGTGTTAATTAATCAACCTTCTTTTTTAACCCCGATTAGTCTCATTACTAAGTATAATACGTAAGTACTGTTATTATACTATTATCACAAAAATATATATTATACCATATAATGATCTGTCAACTACATGACTAGCCTTGCTCAAGAGAATTTGTATAATAATTTGGTTCTTCGAATATAATGACTTGTAGAGATTTTACATAAGAAAAAATAAGGTAATGTCAGTGTTTGTTATGTCTTACATGCTTACTTGAAAGTTTTATATAAAGTTTGGATACTCCTTTTAATTTTTCTGTTTTATTATACTTTTATATATCAAAAATAGTTGAATGGACTGATGCACAAATCCGCATATTAATTGATGAGAGAAAAGGCAGAAATACCAAATACCATAATATCATTTCTCATAACTGCATCAGATTTTGAGAGAGTATTGCGAAGAAAATTAACCAACAATATAATACAAATTTCAATAGATACCAGTGCAAAGATAATTTATGAATCTTGTAAAAGATTTCTATATAAATACATCGGACTTTATCTATGCATTAATTGTATATCATTGGTGTATAAAAACTAAGGATCACATGGATATTTTTTATTAGCTAGTGTGCGACTTTATAGTTGAAAATAGTAAGAGGAAAAGAAGTAGAACTGGTGAGCATTATTTCGATGAATTTTGTACCCACTTTTGGGAAAGACCAGGTAAGTTGGCCTGTGCATTTTATGCATCATAATCAATTATATCTTCTGTCATTTGGTTCTCTATCTGATGATGTGCTGGTTTTCTTAGTTACTCTATTCGATCAGGTCAGAAATACAAACTTATCAATACAAAAAGGGCAAGAAAGACGTGGAAACCGTACACCACCCTCTTCATATAAAAAGGTTACTACTATATTAAATCGACAAGTTTCTTTTAATAGGCAAAGAAGTCGGAAACAGTTCTCAGTTAATAATGCTAATGGTGTTAATGATGCTAATGGTGTTAATAATGCTAACAGTGTTAATAATGCTAATAGTGTCAATAACACTAATAGTGTTAATAATACTAATGCCAATAGTGTTAGCCATACTAGTCCGGGTAGAGAGAATTAGTGACTATGCATTTGCCAATTTATTTGTTTGCATCTTTTTGTAATAGTATAATTGTCAATAAAAATAAAAATTTGCCTCAGTTATATCGTCAGTGTAGTCATACATAATAGAAAAATTTTCTATATATTCTATCATTATAGGTTTTGAGCTTACATGATTTTTTATTTGGTTGGAGTTCTAAAATCTAACACATTTAGAAGCAAACTGGTCTCTCAGGTCTCAGCTTCCGAAATCATAATACATTGCCATATATAGTAGTACTAAAAATGGCGACCTGTTACTACAGCACTGGATTACTATATCGATATGTGAATTATGTGAAATCAAATTACATAGCAGATTATACATTAAGTATAACACATCATATTTGTAGCGATGTTATCCAAACTATTTGAGATATCCCAAACTATGTGATGATTAGCATCACACGATTTCAGCAATAATAATAAGGAGGTAAATACTTTATGTGATATTATTCATCATATAGTTTAGAATGTTCCAAATAGTTTGGGTAACATCGCTACATATTTGGTATCAGGGCTTAAAATCCTATAGTAATTTGCCAGCCTGCAGCCTATTGTTTGATGTATTCTTCTTAATTCATCTTATTGTTTACTATACCAGCCAATTATACTATATATCAAGAATGATATTTTTGAATGGCTGGCATCAATATAGTTTTTTAAGCTCTGTTTGATGTTTGAATTTTTTATGTTCACATCAGGGTTATTATTCCTAGAAATTACACTGGTAAAAAAACTCCGTATCAACATATTACATAAATAATGAAGTGCATAATGGCTATTCTAAATTTGTAAAGTACCCTGTATAACCAAAATGACAAAATATCATATTCAATAATTGTGATGCCAAATTTAGTAAATATGTAATATCAGGAACGGAGTAATGATATTATGAAGTGTATGGTTATACAGAATCTAAAATACTATTGGATAATAGTAAGATACATATAGAATACTAGGAACTAAGTTTTATTGTATAGTATAACATGTAGTGTATAGTTATGTGGCATTTCAATGCACATGTATACGCAAAATCTTTGATCCAATTGGTTTATGAAGTGGGCAGTTTAAAACGCCTTTAAGCTTCATGGGTGGCTGCTTCATGTGGCTTTGTTGGTTGTAAAAATATCATTTGATTTGATGATCTGATGCTATAACTGGATGTTAACGATGTTATTCAACCTATTTAGGATGTTCCAAACTATGTGATAAATAGCATCACATCATTTTAGCAATAACAGTAAGATGAATACCTCATGCGATATTATTCATCACATAGTCTAGTAATATTGCTACTAGAAGTATCGGTATGAATTGAACCAGACCTCGAAGTAGGATGAGTAGGGCATCCAGAATTATGCAATTTGGCTAGTTAATTATGTGATAGATGCGATATAATTTGATCTATTTTAGTAATTTTCTTCGGAATCTAATTAAAAAATTTTCCTTCGCCTTGCTTGTATTTTATGTGTGTTCATAATCTAAACTGGACCCTTGTAGAATTAAGATTGCAACTACTGAACAGGATGAGTACTACTGAGTAAGATCGGTAGTATAAGTGCCACAAATGGTATTAGTATATACTACTTGATGATGTCTCGCTGCCTAAGGGTGAAGTAATTAGAGTTATAACTAAAGGTCCTAATCCTTGAAAATCTGAATTAAATTCATATGACTTTATTTTTGTTCACAATTTCTGTTCCTGGTTTTGCACGATGATGTCATGCATCTATCTAGTCAATTGTCTATTAGCAATTATCATAGCAAGTAATAAAGTGATGGGCGATTGTTATTAATTTATAATTATGGTGCTGAATTTGGTAAACATAAAATTGTATCACCAAATAAATGCAATCATTAGTTAATTCATGTTGAATAATTATGGTGCCGAATTAGCAAACATGCAATCGTTATAATTATTAGATCGTGTTTAATATAATGCTGAATCATATTGCTTCATGTTAAATTGTTATATGCTAAGCCAATAAAATAATTCCCAATCTTTTACTTTTTTTTTAAAAATATTGAAAAAAATTTCTTTATACAAATAAAAATTATTTACCTACTATATAATTACTATGTCGTCACAAAATGTTCTCATTATTTTATTGAAAGCCTTCAAGAGAAATTTGTGTAGAAAAGAATATCATGCTATAAAAAAAGTCAAAATTGGAAAGCCTGATAGTTTAATCATTGAAGAGAGTGATTCTACACCTGGTATTAATGCTAACCAGATCAAAGAAAAAATGAACATATTTTATAATCCTCTAAAGGTATGTAATCATCTTTTATCACTTTTAGTTTTATAGTATAGTCTTCTTTAGGGGCAGTTATTGCCTTTCGAGACAGGCCTAGGATCTGACTATTTCCTCCCTATTATTATAGAGGGCATGATCATTGAATCACAATTGTCTTATTAGCAAGACGAGGAAGACTGAATAAGCTTCCCATTTAATGCTGAGCTATGAGACAAAAAATGAATCAAATGTATCCATCTCGAAATTTTATTATAATCCAACTTCATAGCAAGACATTACATATCATATACTAATTTAGTAATCTTTTGAATATATATTCTTTAGCATAAGACCCAATCAGAGACCTATTGTTTGACAAAAAGTGAAACTTGTAAATATATTTGAACTCAATGGATATCAGAAGACTTCCTTCCTGAAGATCTTAAATCGACTAAAGTTTCACAACCTTATACATTGTTTGATCCAGAATTTACCTTTATTAAAAAGTTCTTAGAAAAAAGAGAACAGCAACTATTACGAAATAATTTATTAGTAATGGATGCAATGGGTCCAAATAACAACATAGCAAACTCTTTACCCCTTCAAACAATTCAACCAATACTTACTAATGACTTTAAAATACTAACACACTACATAGCTTTACTAAAGTCTGAAATCTTTAGTAATAACAGTTCTTTAAATTCATCATCTGTGGTTTGGAGAGAGTTCGGATTATAGACATGTTTTTTGAAGATTCTGAATTTTAATAAATGCTTTCATCATCACTGTTGTTGTCTTTGGTCAAAAGTAAAGCATGCACATCAAGAAGCTCAGGAAAAAATGCAGAAAGAGTATAATATCTCAGAAACATTTGGGCGAACCTTAAAGTATAAACTCGATGTAGAAGAAAAATCTACAAAAGATGTGACTACAGGTAAGAAATTCGAGGGCTACTACCATGTTTTTAATTCATAGTGTTTTAGGAATTCTTTCAATGAGGTAGTAGTAGACTTTTTCGATCTAGTTAAATCTACAGTTAAAGAATATGCTATAGTGGTTGTAGATAAATATTATAATCATAACTTTAATAAAAATAATAAATTGCATCAATTTAAAGAATTTAAGAAGGAGTTGGTAGAGCATTTTGGAGCCTTTACAGGCAATAACAATGAGCTCTATATGACTGCAAATACAGCATCAAACCATTGCTCAGAACATCAAAAATGTGTTTAAGAGCTGATTAGTGGACTTCAACCACTATCTAATGCAGTTAATAGTTATTTTCAGGAAACTTATCCTGCTCTGTATACAAAAATAGCAAAGCTCGATCTTGGTCCAAATGTTCCTAAGTCTTTCGGTGCTTTTCAACAATTGTGATTAACTTCAATGTTATTAGTCAATTCCATCATGATTTAAAAGATCACCAAAATACACTTTGTGTAGTGTGCCCACTTGGGTCATTTAAAGGTAGGCAATTGGTATTCCCTGAGTTAAAGCTAATAATTTATGCAAAGCAAGGACAAGCTATAGCTTTTAGATCAAATATTTTGGTCTATGGTAATCTTTCAGTTATTTCTGGTATTCGCTATAGTGTTGTTTTCTTTATACATGCAACATCAATCAAGCAAAATAGAAAATTTGGCACTCTATTTAGTGATTCCGATATTGATAC